TGATGTTAATATACATACATGCAAAATTATGTTGTGTGTATATTAGTCACATTGAAACATTTTAAAAGATACTATTTAACGTAGCATCCAAAAATCAAATAGCTAAATACAATAATAATAGAGCTTCACACTAAAAATGACAAAATATTACTCACAGAAATTAAACCTAAACATGGGTAGGAATGTGCCACATTCATGAATCTGAAGTTCCAACCTTACTGTAAAGTCTGTAGATATCTCTAGACAGTGGTTTTCTTTAATAAAGAAGTATACAGCTCCGATGGGAGCCTATCCCACCTTTACCTCAGCCACCAAGGAGCCTGTAAGTAAATGTGCCGCTACTGAAATGTCTGTACTGGAATTGTAGATCTGTGTAGTTCATTAAAAATACGAGAAAGAACCAATGCCCAGGGCTACTGACTTTCTATGTCTGGTAATGTTGCTCTCTGTTTTTGTGCTCACCTCCTGCCTCCTTGAATTCAAAGGAAGATTCCGTTTATGTTGACATCAGTTGGTGGCATGATACTCTTTCAAGTAATATTAATGGGTAACACTTAATGGAGTATATGCCGGGTACTAGTCCAAGTACCTTCAGATATTAACTCACTTACTCCTCCTCAAAAACCTATGTAGTTGGTAACAATACCCCGGTCATTTCACAGAAGGAAGCTGAGCCAAGAGGTTAGCACCTGTGAAAAATCAGGCTCAGAATCTGCGTGAGCTCGTTCCAAATTTTACCGTCTTAACCAGGATGCCCAGGTATATCCTCTTGCTTGAAATTTAAAAAATCTTTTTTAATTAACTTTTTGCTATTATTCAGACATTCAACTGCTATATATCATTTAGATTGTAAAGGGAATTTATCCAGCATGAAATGCACCTCAGACCAGTCCAGTTGAGAATATTATATATGTTATCTTTTACTTTGAGTAAAACACTGAAAACGGATGAGTGCTACAAATATATTTTGACTATTTTCAGAGCTTAAAAAGATAACTTTTGGGAAGTTTCAAACTGATTGAGACAGAACGTGGAATTTCTACATGCCTTTGTTTCTTTTCTATGCTACTGATGGGGATGGCTGGCAGCCTGAATCTGAGGAGGAATCCCCAGAGAAGGACATGGGAGAGGAGAGAACCCGATGAGGGGCAGGCCGGGACTGTGTTACTCTGCCCTCTACCAAAACGTTTCTAGTTTCTTAAGATGGAAACAATTACTTTGGGATCATCCAGTATCTACCAAATGTTACTAAGAGGGGTCATCAGGCTATTTCAGTTTTAACATTTATGTTTTCTTGTCTCCAACAGGAAAAAGAAAAGACAATAGAATTTTAAAAGCAACATAGAAATGGATACTTGTGTATTTGAGTGTTGGTGTCAACCTACACGTCTTGTTTTTGTCTGAAATTATATTATATGCCTTGATGAGATCAATGAAAAGAGCATTGTATTTTTCTGCCATGTTATTCCGTAACACAGGTGGAGGTAATCGCACAATAACAATATCCATAGCAGTGAGGACTTGGGGGCTCGGTGCACACAGGTTGAGTGTTATGGGTACTCCTTATCTAACTCCTCCTCACCTCCATAAGGTAAAGAGCCTCACGCTGCTCGTTTCATGCAGAAGGCTCCTGAAGTACCCAGATGCTTAGGCGTAGGTAGCTGGGCTAGTGAATTGTTTAGTTAAAGATCAGAAGTTGGAGTTTAGTGTGGATCAATAATCACCACAGACCGGAGCAGCTTCATTTAGAGACGTCGGTGGTGAGGAAGGCTGTGGTTTCTGAGGTGTGGGTGATTAGGAGGCAAACGGCAGAGGTCTTCGGGACAGGTAGAAGCCCACAAGGCTCTGCTACTTTCAAGCTTCACAGGAGGCTTCAGATAAGAAAAGCAATTTTATTTAAGTCAAAGCTATTTTCCGACAGACACTCAGCACGTTAAACTGTTGGAAAATCCCCTGCTCTTATTTGAGACAGGTATTTAAGGCTATTTCACAAAGTGCTTCTGAATTACGCTTTGAGTCTTGGTAATGATTGAAAATTAGTCAGAAGAGCCAAATTTAAACAATAAAGAATTAATTTTGTTTAGATACAGAGATCCAAATGGGAAGGCTGGAGCTGGTTTCGTGCACTCGAGGATGCAAGTCTGTCGCCTGGTGAGGACTTGGAGGAAATGGCAGCACGTGGCCACCCGGGGAAATAATGCTATTCTGTCTTTCCCGGGGAACGAGTGTGAATCTCCAGGTATCATCACCATGACACCAGTTCTCTCGGGAGAGCGTCGAGAGAGATCACCGTCATTGTGAGAGTGCTGCCTACTAGTGATGTTGCGAGGGAAGAGACGACAACACCTTCTACTTCACACACTTCCTCGCAGGCTGCGTGTTCGTGGTCATCTACTCCGACTGAGATAAAATAAAACCGAAACTCTACAAAGGAAAGCAGCAGTGTCCTGCCGACCAAGCAGTCCGAGGGCTTTCTCCAAGGAAGCCTAGGATGTGGTGCCGGGAGGGTGAAGGGCAGTACGCAGAGAGGCTGAGAGGAGGGTGTGCGTGTGCTCTGCCAGACTCTTCATCCTTGCACGTCCTCTGGCCCAGCCTTGCTTCTTTCCTTCTGGAGAAATACGTTGATTAGACTTAAAATAAGAATAAAACAAAATAAAACCGAAAGACCTAGAATTTTCTTTCTTTTGGAAACATTTTAAGATTAATTTGAGACTCCCTGTCAGTGGTCCCTCATTTTTTTTTTCTTGTCATTTCTGTCTCTCAGTCTCCCCAAATTTATGTCCACTTCCCAGTTCTTTCTAACACCATATATATTAACACACATTAACTTGAACATACATAAAACTGGGAAAATCAAGCAAGGTAAATGAATGTCAGTACAGGTGCTCCGGAAAGTGACCTGCCCTGGTACCTAGAGCCCTGACTGAGAAGAACTTTCCAATGCAGCTCCAGTTTGCCCACCTCTTAGCTCCCTGGCCTTGAGGAGGGTAGAGATGTCCACAGTGCCTTTAGAGTCAGCAGTCTGGCCTGGGTCCTCCTTCATTGTCCAGTTCTTTAGAAGACACTTAGGAGACAAACCTGAGATATTTAGATTCTGCATCAAAGTTTTTTAAAAACTTTGCTATAGGGTTTTTTCACTTGCGAGGGAGAGAGAGAGAGAAAGGGAAAGTGAGAAAGCACCCCCCCCCCATCCCCGAGGATGGCCATGCTACAATCCCTTCTCTTCTTCCATTCTCCTCTTGGGATTTTGGGCATGCACGCACATGCACCTGATGTATTTGTCAAGTGGCTAGGTCTTGGACTCAAATCACATTGTTAGACATGTGGGATCTAGCTGCCTTAGCCACCACTCCACTGGTTAGCCCAGATTCTATATCATGTTAATTTTAAAACAATATTCTTAACACTCACACTTAGTTTAATTATAATTTTTTAATATAATGGTTCTTAAAAATCATGAATGAATAATTCCATTCAATTACAAGTTGAATACTACTTTTACGGTCTCACAAAAAATTTTAAAGTATACTTTAAAATAATTTGATTCAAAGGCATGTGTTTTTAGTTATTATGAAATTAATGTACTGAGAAAAAATTAAGTTAAATCATATAAAATACAGATTTTATAAAGGTCATTAATGTTACCATATCAATGAACAGCATTTCATGTGTAATTGCATGATTTATTATTTATTTTAAAGCAAAAGTAATTCAAATTTATAATACACTTAATTGGTGAGAATTCTACCATGGATAATTGATTTATGGGAGGTTTCCAAATATCTCAAATTTGCTTGCTTATTTGAAATTAATCCATGTGATTCTATTTAAATTGAGCTGTTCTTTTCTCATGTGCATTTTATTTCCTTAGACTTTTTTATTTCTTTTTTTGGCAATGAATTTTAATTTCTAATGGTGTCCTGTTTGACATTTGCTTATGAAAAATGAGATTCTATCCTGCTCTGTTGAAGTTTTACAAAATGTCACCAAGATAATGTCCTCAAGGATTCCTATTGAATAGTATTATTTTGATTTTCTTTGCATTATCATTTGAAAGAAATGTTCACAATTGGTGCATGTCTGTCTTAGTACTCTGAGTTTCCATGCAGTTCCCTTTTCTCCTGATTTTACCTCTTTCTAGTTTTCTATTTCTGTTTGAGATTTTGCTTTGAACAGTTTAAAATGGTACCTGGTGACCAGCAACTGAGGTGGCCGTTGACATAGGGATGACAATACCCATGGAAATACAGGAAACATTCACAGCAGTGCTGAAGTGGAGACACACAGTCAGCCTGCAACACAGGAGGAGTGCCAGAACTGCAGGTGTTAGGACACTCCCTTGAATTACTCCATCCCGATGGGCTTCCGTATGCCCCGCCAGAGCACGATGGGAGACCTTCACCTTCTGAGCATGCGCCTGGCCGAAAAGGCATAACAACATCCACCAGCAATCTAACTGACTGCTGTCCTGCAAACAGGCTCAAAGGAACCATGTTGGGCAATGCTTATAACACTGCCAGACAGTACCCCACTTGTGTGGCTAACGCTGAGGCGGGGAACGGCAGCCCTGCCCTGAGGTGCAGCTGGCAGCACACAAGGCTACAGAGCTGAAGCCACATGCTGGTGTGGTGGAGGCCCAGGCCTGGCCAGTCTGAACACCTGTGGGTGCATGAGCACATGCCTGGGATCTGACGGGCTGGAGGACTACAGGAATGGGTTTGAGGGGTGACTGAGTCCTGTGGAGGGTGCTTCTCTCTCTATGCTCAAAAAGGTGGCTACGTGATTTTTCTAAGGTGTCAGAAGCGGGCGGCAGTAGGCCTAGCTTAGGCTATGCTCCACCTGTTGCTCTCCCCCATCACACTCAAGAGCAGCTCTGTGAGGCAATCAGCACACTCTTTTCCTTCTGGTAAAGAACTTTTCCTCCACGAAAAAGCAGGGTGGATACAGGGATGGATGAGTGAGGTGAGTCTTACCTACCCTTGGAGCCAGAGACCCCACGGGTCTAGTCTGCAGGTGGAAAGGGAGCCAGTGAGGTTCCTGGTAGAGTTCACATATACTGAGCAAGATTCCTGAGATGAAAATGGAAATACATGAATGGGGAAATGAAAAATGCAAATACAATTCAACTATAAAATAGCTGTGAGCAAACTGGACTGTGAAATACCCAGCTAATATCAAGAGAGAACTCATACAGATCTCTCACAATTCAGGATAAAAGAGAAGAGAGACGGCAAAGTGTTCCCGAGGATTCATGACGATTTGAACAAAAACAACAATTGCACCAGTTACTGAAGAAAACGCTTCAGAGGTGAGAAGCATGAGAAAGGGGCAGGTTCAACTTGTACTTCACCTGAGAAGAGAGTTGTTTCCTTCCCTTCCAGCATAGTTTAGGATGATTTACAAGGATTAAGGAAAAAAGTGTTACAATTACCCAAGTAGAAAAAACGTACAGAAAAAATACACTGCACTCCATAAATGTGCAATTATTATGTGACAACTCAAAACAGTAATCCTGATTTTAAAATGAGCTACTTTCTAAGTGCAAAAGGAAAAAACTGACTTCATACTGCTTTATAACATGAGCTACAAGCAGAGATTCTTGGGACATACCATCTGTCTGAATGGCTGTCAGTAAAAGCTTAAAAGGTGGAATATTTTTTACCTATTCAAGAGATGACAGAAAACATTTCCTCATATGTACATGGTGTTGGGAATAGTAAATAAATATGCCATTCCTAAATCATCTGTTCAAGATAAACTCCAGGTAAGCAAGCAAATAATGTCAAAACTGAGAACACAGAAACGGAAGTCATTGGCTAGCAAGAGGGGCAGAATTTCCTCTTGAAGTATCAATGAATAATAAGCAAGTGATCTCAAATATCCAGGGTGGAAATTTCCTCAGTGAACCAGGCACCACTGCATGGAAATGGAAGGCGTCCTACTGTTCTGACATATCATAGTCTTAGAGTGTAAATAAATTAACTTTTAGATTTAATCACATTGTGTCAAAGCTCACTTTAGTACAATTCATGAGGGTTATAATTACGCTCAAAACTCTTAAAAAAATAAAGTTCATTAGTAGTGTGATTCGTTGTTTTTTTTTTTAAACTTGGTTTCCTAATGGGCATATCACCCATTTTAAAAGCATCATACACAAAGTTCACATATCAGTGAATTTCTATAAATTGTAATTTCCATAAATTAAATATGTCTCTGTAATTAGTATCCAGATGAATAAACTGGCCATTGATTGCATCCTGGAGACTGCCCTGGATTCCACTTCCCTCCCAGGAAGGGCCTCTAGCCCCTCTCCTTATTTGTAGCCACATAAATTAGTCATCTTGGTCTACTCCTTCTTGTACAGACATGCAGTGTGTGCCCTTCTGCGTCTACCTTCTTTTTCTAACACTGCATTTTATTCTTATAGTTGCTGCAGTTTAATATTTATTTTAAATCCAGTCTAATGATCCAGTAAGTATATAATACCACAATTAGTTTATCTTTTGTGTGGTTGAAGACCACTTGGGTGGTGGCCAGATGTTGGCTATAATGAAATGAGTTGCTATGAACATTCTATTCTAGTTGGTGACTTTTGGTGGACGGGCCTCACATTTCTGTTGTAAATAGAGACCTAGAAGTGGAATGGCTGGGTTACTTGAAGACATTTGTTTACAGGAAACAACTAGACATCCTTGCAAAGTGGTTGTGACACTACATTCTCTCGCAAGCCATAAAGGAGCATTCTAGTCTCTCTGTGGCCTTATCAACACCGGTATCTGCTCTTTTTCATGTCAGCCATTCTAGTGGGTGTGCCATCATATGCCACTGGCTTTAATTTGCATTTCCATCTGACTGATAAAACTGAGCAAGAACAACTTGTCATTCACTCCTTGGTCACTTTCTTTGAGAAGTGTTTCTTTGACTCTATACCTCATTTTTAAAAATTAGGTTGTCAGTGTTTTCCTTCTTTCTTTCTTTTTTTTTCTTTTCACTAGAGGACCACAAAGAGAGAGAGAAAGGAGAAAGCACCTATCCCTCTGTAGGGTATGGTGTCACTATAATCCCTTCTCCTCCATTTCATTGTCGTTTCAAGATTTTGGCCACACACATGTGCCCAGCATGTTTCTCTACCCACCAGGTCTGGGACTCAAATGGTGTTGTCAACCATATGGGATCCATGGAACTGGCCCTGCAATATTTTTAAAAATTTATTTGTAGATTTTTTTTTCTTTTGTATTGTGGATGTGGGTATTTTGTTAAACAAATGTATTGTGAACTTCTTTTCCTCCTCTGTGCCTTGCCTTTCTATTATAAGACTGGCTTTTTATTTTTATTTTTTTTATGGTTCTCCTGTGTTAGCCTTCCAGCTGGCACTGTGCGTGCACACCGCGTGGCACTGTGCGTGCACACCGCTTGGCACTGTGCTTGCACACCGTGCATCTTGGCTCTTTGTTGCTGTCGCTCAGGCCAGCCACAGTAATGACCCTCTTGCCTCCGCCCCAGTCGCTGGGACTGCACAGGCACACCTCCTCTCTTGGCTGTCAGGTTGAACGGTGAATTGAACCTGGGCCTCTCACACGCTTACAGCTTGTGAAGCACAGTGTCTTAGCAACACACATCACTGTGGCGGCTGGGCCAAAAGAACTTCTTAACTTTTTATTTGTTATTTTGTTTGTTTGTTTTTGCCATAGGACATGCATGCTCTGTAGAAAGAGAGAGAGAGAAATTGAGAAATCATTCCCCGGGGGATGGCCATGCTGCCTTCCCTTCTCCTCCATTCTCCTCTTGGCATTTTGAACATTCACCCATGCACATGTGCCCTGCATGATTTTCAAGCCACCAGGTCTGGGGCTGGAATCATGGTCAGCCACGTGGGAATCCAGCACTTTAACCACCATGCTACCTGCTGGCCCCCCAGGCCTTTTAAATTTTAACATAGAACAATTTACCAATATTTTTTCTATGGTTAGAATGAGTTGTTTAGGAAATCTTTTCCTACTCCAAGGTCACAAAAACCTTCCCCAGCATTTTCCTCTAAGAGCTTTATTGTTTGCCTTTCTCAATTACATCCAAAATCTATCAGAAATTGAATTTTTTCGTATAGTGTTCAAGTACATCTGTTTTCCATCTGGAGAGCCCATCGACCCAGCTCTTTGACTGAGTCTCTGATGCTGTGAATGAGACCTGCTTCTAGATTCTGCTCTGTGTCTGTCCTGAACTTTACACGTTAAGAGTGAATTTCTCTTAATTTTTCCTCCATTCACAGCACATAGACTGGGTTGTGGGGGGAGAAGAATTTTCTAGAATCAAGATGGAATGGGACAGAATTTGAAATTTGTTGGTATGCACTGTATATTCCTACAAAATACAGATATTTCAAGTTTGAGGGATATTGCTGATTTTTTTACTCCTAAGAATCTGGGCGAGCAGGTAATAGCTGACTGCAGGTCAAGACCCAGACCCGGTGGCCTGAAAATCACACCAAGCACATGTGTATGTGTGCCCAAAATCCTGAAAGGAGAATGGAGGAGAATGGAGACGGGATTGTGGTGTGGCCATCACCCTGGGGGATGATGTCTCACTTTTTCTCTCACTGTCTCCCTCAGTCTCTCTGACAAGTGCACCACACCCTACAGCATCCTCCCTGTCTCCCCAGAAAAGAATCAGGTATCAAACACATTTGTCAAAACTGACAAATACGGAGTGGAGTAGGGGGCTGTACTTGTCAGCCTGGGTATACAGGCATAGATGCATGAGCACAAGTGCATTTGAGGAAAACGACTTATATCAACGTGGGTGGGTTGTGACTGGTTCCCAGATTACAATGGTTTCTTTGTCTAGTCTTAAGCAACCAGATGTTGTTCATCCAACTAATCGTAGCGATGACCAAAAGACCATAGACTGTAGTTATGGTTTAGCAAAGGCACATCAATCTTGATTATAGCAGAGGATAAAAATCAAACAAGCCAGGGCCTGTTTGATACAGGAAAGAAAGAAAAAACTCAGAAAAAAGAGAAAAGGAGGTAAAATCAAAAGTCCTGGTTGGTTTTCTAACCATGTGCCTTTTGGGCATTCTAAGAGTCTAAAAGTTTTCTACAAAAAAATTCTAAAAATGTCCTCTAAAATGTAACACTTAACTTTATGACACTGATGAAAATATTGCTTGTCATCTGTTCTGTATGAATAAAAGAGATATAAGGTCAGCCAGAGGTGTGGTGGTTTGGGCAGACAGTTCCCACATGGCCAACCATGAGGTTCAACTCCCAGACCTGGCAGCTTAAGGAACACTCCAGGTATGTGTGCATGCATGCTTAAAAATTTTGACAGGAAGGAGAGATGGAGAAGAGCTTGAAGCATGACCATTCCCCATTGGGGGTGATTTTTCACCCTCACTCAGCAAATTGAAAAAAGAAATGTAGTGGCCAGCAAGTGGTGTGGTGGTTAAGGCACTGGACTCCCACATGGCTGACCATAGTTTGAGTCTTGGGCCTGGTGGCTTGGTTTCCCTTTCTCTTGCTCTCTGTTTCTCTGGTCAAATTATAAAATAATAATAATAACAACAAATGGAATTAAATAAATAAATAAATACTTCTTTTTTAAAAAAATGTAGAGATACTGAAGAAAAAGCTTACTGCTTTCTCCATGAAGCTTAGAGAACAGTTCTCATGGAAAATTATGAAATTCTACTTAGTATACTTTATTTAGCTTTAAAATGACATTTCCATAAATTGATTTATGTATATTTTAAAAAGCTCAGACAGTATATTTTTATTATATAGCTTGTAGACCTGTTATTTAATCAGATAGTTTATACTGAATTAAATATAGTGTTGTGATTATTTGCGAAAAACAATCACCTGGTACGATAGGAAGGCTAACAGGAAGCTGTAAGGAACTGGCTCAGGATTTTTAAAAGAAATACATCATGTCAGTGTGTTCTCTGCCTCTTTGTCTCTCTGAATATTCATACGTACACACATGTGGGGTTGCATGTTTCAGTGGGGTTGGAGAGTGGAAAGGATTAACGGAGGAAAGCCTATCTGTGCCTGGCTTAGACTCCAGCTGCACG